CCTCGGCCACGAGCGGGCCTCCCGACTGTCGCTGGCTGCGTCGGGGCCCCGGGCGGCGGGGCCTCGGGCCCTCCGCCCACCGCGGCGGCGAGGCCCGGGACGACGGCGAACCCTGGCAGACCGAGCTCCGAGCTGAGGTCGCAACGAAGACACAGCAGGATGGCCAACCCTGGGGGTGTCGCGGGCAACGGCCGCCACCGCCGGAGCTGAGCCTGGCGGGGCCGCGGGGGGGGTCCCACGTGCCCCGAGCGACTACGGCGAGTCGCGGCGGCTCCAGCGGGCGCCGCCGCTCGCAGAGGGCCGCGCGCTGGCAGCGCATGCCATCCAATTCGCGTCTGGCGCCCCGAGGCAGAGCCGGGCAAGGGCGCGGATGGGGGCCCTCCGAGCGACCGCGGCAGGTCGCCAGGGCTTGCGAGATCTACGCCGATCCCAGCAGGCCCTACGAGCGCAACAGAGGCTAGCCAGGTCGATGAAGCCACTCCGCTCGGCCAGCGCTTGCCGCCGAAGCTCGCTGGGCATCGTCCCCCAACGCCGGGGCCAGACCAGGCAGGGCCGCGGACGGTTCCCCGCGTGCCCCGAGCGACCGCGGCAGGTCGAGAGGGTTCGAGAGAGCCACGCCGTTCGCAGGAAGCCTTGCGCTTACATCAGAAGTTGGCCAGGCCGCGTCCGCAACCCCCGAAACTGAGCACGGCTGGAGCGCGGGGGGGGATCCCCGCGTGGCCCGAGCGCCCGTGGCAGCTCGCTAGCGTCCGCCAGCACCGAGGCTGGGCCAGGCAACGCTGCTGGTGGATCTTCACGCACTCCGAGCGGCCGCAGGAGGTCTCGAGAGCCCGAAGGCGCCCCACCGCTCGCAGGGGACCCTGCGCGCGCAGCAGAGACTCTCCAGGTGACGGTCGTCAATGATGGGCATGTTTTCCTCCACCACCACCACCATAAGTTGGAGGGGGAGGGGATCCTCCTCCTCCTCCTCCTCCTCTTCTTCGTCCTTCTCCTCCTCGTCCTCCTCCTCTATCCCCCCTCCAACTTATGGTGGTGGTGGTGGTGGTGGTGGAAAACACGTTCATCAGTCAACGCCGGAGCTGAGTCTTGCCGGGGCGCCTGAGAAACCCGAGGGACCCCGTGCGACCGCAGCCGATCGCGAGAGCCCGAGCGGGCCGCACCGCTCGGAGGCCCTGCGCCTGCAGCGGGGGCTCTCCCGGCAGCGTCCGCCAACGCCGAGGCGGTGGCGGGCAGGGTCGCAGGAAAGCCCCCGCGAACCCCGAGCGACCACGGGAAGTCGCGAAGGCTCGGGCGAACCGCGCCGCCTGCATAGGGCCGCGCGTTGGCAGCACAGGCTCTCCAAGTGGCGTCCGCTGCCGCTGGAGAAAAGCGGGCGGGGGCGCGGGAGGACCCCCGCGCGCCCCGAGCGAGTCTGGCAGGGCGCGGGGGCTCGAGCGCGCCCCGCAGTCTGCAGAGAGCCCGTCGCTAGCGCCAGAGGCTCCCTGGACCGCGTCCGCCAAATCGGAAGCTGAGGCCGACCTGGGCGCGGCGGCGAGACCTCCGCGAATCCTGAGCGACCGCGGCAGGCCGCGAGAGCTCGGAGGACCCCCGCCGGTCGCAGGATGCCCGGCACGCGCAGGCACGCGCCGCAACTGTCCAGGCAGCGCCCGCTACAACAGGAGGTGGGCCCGCGAGAGCGCTGGGGCCCGCGCACCCCGAGCGAGCGCAGCGCGTCGCGAGAGCTCGATTGAGCAACGCCGCTCGCAGCAAGCCTGGCGTTTTCAGCAGCACGCGTCCGGGTCGCACCCGCCGAGCCGGAGTCCGGGCAGACGGGGGCGACTGGTTCCAGCGCAACCGCCGCCTCGTGGTGCGGCGGGCCAATATTGGGGGCGTGGGAAGAGCCCGCGAAGCCCGCCCGACTGCAAAAGGTCGCGGGAGCCGGAACGGGCGGCCCCGAACACAGGCGGCCCCACAGGATGCGGAGGTGGGGTCAAACTGGCTGAAGGCACGGCCCGAAACCGCGGCCCATCTGTGTGTCCCGGTGCTGGGCAGTGGGGCCCCGACGGCGGCGTCGGTCGCGCATGGTTGGCACTGCGGCGGCGTCCGTGCGTCAGCCTCCAAGCCAGCGAGGTCTGGAGGCGGTCTCGCACGCCCGGCCTGCGGGGCTCGACAATGCCTCCAGCCCAGGTGGAGGGCGGAAACACCAAGCTGGCGAATCATCCCCTGGTGCGGCGACCAGGTGAGCGGGGCTGCCGATAGGCGGGACCCCCACCAGCGCAGCGGTCGCGGCGCCGGAGCGCTGCCCGCCAGACCGTCGAAGCCCGAAGGAAAGTCCATGTTCGTGGCAACGGGGCGCGGACGGGCCGACGGCGGCACGCGATCGCCAGCCCCCAACCAGCGAGACCTGGAGGCGGCCCCACCTGCCTGACGGCAAGAGAAGGCAGCGCGCAACCGGGGCAGATTGGCAGCTAACCGCACAGCACGCTCGGCGGAGACGCGGCGCCTGCAGCGCACAAGCCCGCGCAAGCAGACAACTGCTCGGAAGCTGGGTCCTGATGTGGGAACCCCCCACGAGGCCGAAGCGTTGAGCCACTGTGGGAGCACGAGGGAGGCAGGGAGGCGATGGGGGTAGGAAGTGTCGCCCACTCCGACTCCCCCACCCCGAGCGCAGTCGATGGACCCTTTGCCTGATGTCAGGCGAGCGCCATCGACGTTGGTCGCGCGAGGAACGGCTGGGCCCACCGGCGGAACAGATCGCACGAGGAATGGCGCAGAACCGTCTGCGGCCGAAGCGAGAGCTGGCACTGCGCCACGGTGCAAGGCGTGGCGCATCTGCGCATGAGCTCCTCGTCCTCGTCCTCGTCCTCATCCTCTTCCTCGAATGAGAGCCTCCGCCGCCCCGAGGCCTAAGGGGGGGGCAGGAGAGGAAAGAGGGGAGCTTTGTTTTGGCAGTGGCGAAGGAGAGGAAGGCAACATTGGCCACCAAGCCTAAGGGACGGGGCCGCGGGCCAGCGCCGCCCTCGAACGAACGAGGGGCCTTCCCAGGAGGGCGCAGAAGCGCCGAGGCGCGCGACAGCGCCCAGCAAGCGGACAAGATCCCGCCAGCGGGGAAGATGGTTGTCGGGGCGACTGCCCGCGTCGCCTGCTGTTAGTAGCGCAGCAGACGGCGCAAGCGCGCACGACCGTCGCCTGGGGCGGACGGCCGGGCCGACTGGACAAGGCAGTCGGGCGAACCCCACCCGAGCCGGGTCAGCGGGTAAGGAAACGACCCACAGAACCCAATGCTCACGGGTCGTGGGAACCGCCGACTCGGGCGGTGGCCCACCGAAGCTGTAGTGGAAAACCCTGGCCGCGTAGAAGTCGAGGGAGACCTGCGCGGTGCCCGCCTGAAGCTAGCCCCTGGCGCCACGGCCGCGTGGCGCGGAGGGGGCGAAGCGGGCCGACGCGAAGGGGGGCAAACCTGGGCCGCAACACCGCACAGAGCGCGGAATGGGAGAGAGCGAAGAGCATTCCCCTGGCAGCGGCAAGTTCAAGCTCGTCGGCCAAATGTGGCAGGCCAGTGAGGGCCAGAAAGCCAGGTGACTATGTTACGAAGGGCGGCGTTCTGAACAGTGCCGTTGGTTCGCTCGGGCAGGAGACGAGGATGATCAGAAGAGGGGAAGAATCCTCCTCCTGTTTCTCCTCCTCCTGCTTCACCTCCTTCTTCTGCTCCCGTGGCCCCAAACCAAAACACGGCTTTGGAACGAATCGCCTTCGAGCTCTAGTCCCTCGGAACACGCACGCGCTTGCGCGCTTAGGTTCTAGTAAGCACCCGCCCTCGACTTGTTCACTGCTGCGTGCATGTACGCATGTTGTTCACAGCTGTTGGCAATTGTTTGCCAAAGTCACCACTGGAGTGGTGTCTCCTTTATGGTGCGAGCCGTCGCCGCCATCGTTGTGCTGCAATGCGCTCTTGCCGCCATCCTTCACTTCAATGCGCTCTCGCCGCCATCGTTGTCACTGCAAAGGCCGCCGTCGCCGCCGTCGCCGCCGTAGCCGCAGCCGTCGTCGTCGTCGTCGTCGTCGTCGTCGTCGTCGTCGTCGTCGTCGTCTTCGTCGTCGTCGTCGTCGTCGACATCATCGGCGTTGAAAGGCTTATGAAGTTTCCCCAGATTTTACGTCTTTGCATCGTCCCCTCCTCCTTCTTCCTTCTCCAGGAACGCATCCGACTACGATTCGAGTGGAGTTGCAGGAGGAATGAATGCATTGAACAGCTGGAATGAAATCGTTAGCTCGCTTTCTGTCACTCCGATGCTCGTAGCGCGCGTTTCGCACGCACGCGCTTAGGTTCTAGCACGCCCCAGCCCTTGGCCAGCTCACAGCTGCATTCAAATAGACGCGCACAATTGCCTTGAACATGAAGTGAAGAAAGAATGAGACCGCGGATCCAACTCAGACGATTCGAAACGGGCACATCCGAAACAACAAATAAAACTATGCAACGACGGGTGCCCATTTGGGCCACATCTCGCGGACGTCGCGAAAGCCTCTTGAGCTATCCAAGCTATTTCTTGGGCAGTCTTGGGACTCCCTTGGGTCGTCTTGAAGTCTCTTCTCAGCACTCGGACAAAGGTCCGAATCCCGCGATACCAGCGCGCGGCGCACCACAGCCCCTCGGCGGCAGGGGCGCACGGAGCGAGAGGCCGAGAACGCCTCTAAATGACGTGCTCGCACAGCGAGCCCGTGCGCAGCATGGAGGGGAGAAGGGGAGGCGAAGGAGAGGAGAGACTCACTACTACTGGGTGTTGAGAGAAGTGCGAAGGCAGCAAGCAAAGTCACCGCTCAGACGGCTCTGCACGTCAACGAACTCCGTCCACGGGCCACGGCCCCCGCCCCCCGCCGAGACCCCACCCCCTCCACCACCTCCTCCTCCCCATTCAAAAAGAGATCCGGCATTCCAAAAAAGACTCGGCTGGGCAGCTCCGCCCGAGGGCCCCGCACCACCGAGGTGCCTGGGCGGTCTTCTGCATCGCGGCACTGCCTCACTGCAATACCGCAGTCACGACCAACAGCAAGGGCACGAGTGTAGGACTGTAAGCCCAAGCACCTGACCAGCCGACATAGACGCAACCAAAAAACTGCAAGCTGGGATCGTCGCAGTAGTTACAGCAGTAGTTCCCGTACACAACCTCGTATCCTGATCCGCACGAAGCAAACTCTGCGTATACGTTGAACGCGCAGTCCCCATCATCGTCGGTACACTGACCGCAGTCGAGTCCTTCAGGGTCGGTCGGCGGCTCTTCGTCGCAGTCGCCTCCGTCATAGTTGCACTCCCAATTGTAGCACGAGCTGTCGCAGACGCCGTCGCCTGGCCACCCGTTGTAGCAGCCGTCCGCGCAGAGCTCCTTGTCGGTCGTTGTCGTGGCCTCCGAAGAGCACGTTTCGCAACACAAGTCCCCGAAAGCATCACACCAGCCCCAGCCAGCCACTTCGCTGCAATCGTCCGACCCTACTTCTAATATCCCGAGTACGTCGCCATAGTCGTTGCACTCCATCATAGCTGCAGCACACGTTTGGCAACATATGCCTTGCACCTCCGAGCTGACGAAGCACATGCCAGCAGCATCCCCGCAACCAGTGACCCCAGAAACATTGAGCTGTTGGGCTAAAAAAACGAGGGCGGCATCGTCATCTTCGCACACGTCTGGCTCCTTGTCGGTAGTTGTCCACCACATCTCGGGCTCAGGCTCAGGCTCTGGCTCTGGCGTGGCGTCGCAATCGCCTCCGTCATAGTTGCACTCCCAATTGTTGCACGCGCTGTCGCAGACGCCGTCGCCCGGCCACCCGTTGTAGCAGCCGTCCGCGCAGAGCTCCTTGTCGGTCGTTGTCGTGGCCTCCGAAGAGCACGTTTCGCAACACAAGTCCCCGAAAATATCACACCAGCCCCAGGCAACCACTTCGCTGCAATTGTTAGGCCCCACTTCTGATATCCCGAGTTCGTCGTTATAGTCGTTGCACTCCATCATAGCTGCAGCACACGTTTGGCAACATACGCCTTGCACCTCCGAGCTTTCGAAGCATATGACAGCAGCATCCCCGCAACCAGTGACCCAGGAAACATTGTTCTGTTGGGCTAAAAAAACCATGGCGGCATCGTCATCTTCGCACACGTTCGGCTCCTTGCCGGTAGTTGTCCACCACATCTCGGGCTCAGGCTCAGGCTCTGGCTCTGGCGTGGCGTCGCAATCGCCTCCGTCATAGTTGCACTCCCAATTGTTGCACGCGCTGTCGCAGACGCCGTCGCCTGGCCACCCGTTGTAGCAGCCGTCCGCGCAGAGCTCCTTGTCGGTCGTTGTCGTGGCCTCCGAAGAGCACGTTTCGCAACACAAGTCCCCGAAAGCATCACACCAGCCCCAGCCAGCCACTTCGCTGCAATCGTCCGACCCTACTTCTAATATCCCGAGTACGTCGCCATAGTCGTTGCACTCCATCATAGCTGCAGCACACGTTTGGCAACATATGCCTTGCACCTCCGAGCTGACGAAGCACATGCCAGCAGCATCCCCGCAACCAGTGACCCCAGAAACATTGAGCTGTTGGGCTAAAAAAACGAGGGCGGCATCGTCATCTTCGCACACGTCTGGCTCCTTGTCGGTAGTTGTCCACCACATCTCGGGCTCAGGCTCAGGCTCTGGCTCTGGCGTGGCGTCGCAATCGCCTCCGTCATAGTTGCACTCCCAATTGTTGCACGCGCTGTCGCAGACGCCGTCGCCCGGCCACCCGTTGTAGCAGCCGTCCGCGCAGAGCTCCTTGTCGGTCGTTGTCGTGGCCTCCGAAGAGCACGTTTCGCAACACAAGTCCCCGAAAATATCACACCAGCCCCAGGCAACCACTTCGCTGCAATTGTTAGGCCCCACTTCTGATATCCCGAGTTCGTCGTTATAGTCGTTGCACTCCATCATAGCTGCAGCACACGTTTGGCAACATACGCCTTGCACCTCCGAGCTTTCGAAGCATATGACAGCAGCATCCCCGCAACCAGTGACCCAGGAAACATTGTTCTGTTGGGCTAAAAAAACCATGGCGGCATCGTCATCTTCGCACACGTCCGGCTCCTTGCCGGTAGTTGTCCACCACATCTCGGGCTCAGGCTCAGGCTCTGGCTCTGGCGTGGCGTCGCAATCGCCTCCGTCATAGTTGCACTCCCAATTGTTGCACGCGCTGTCGCAGACGCCGTTGCCCGGCCACCCGTTGTAGCAGCCGTCCGCGCAGAGCTCCTTGTCGGTCGTTGTCGTGGCCTCCGAAGAGCACGTTTCGCAACACAAGTCCCCGAAAGCATCACACCAGCCCCAGGCAGCCACTTCGCTGCAATCGTCAGGCCCCACTTCTAATATCCCGAGTACGTCGTTCGTAGTTGTCCACCACATCTCGGGCTCAGGCTCAGGCTCAGGCTCTGGCGTGGCGTCGCAATCGCCTCCGTCATAGTTGCACTCCCAATTGTTGCACGCGCTGTCGCAGACGCACCCGTTGTAGCAGCAGTCCCCGAAAATATCACACCAGCCCCAGGCAACCACTTCGCTGCAATTGTTAGGCCCCACTTCTGATATCCCGAGTTCGTCGTTATAGTCGTTGCACTCCATCATAGCTGCAGCACACGTTTGGCAACATACGCCTTGCACCTCCGAGCTTTCGAAGCATATGACAGCAGCATCCCCGCAACCAGTGACCCAGGAAACATTGTTCTGTTGGGCTAAAAAAACCATGGCGGCATCGTCATCTTCGCACACGTCCGGCTCCTTGCCGGTAGTTGTCCACCACATCTCGGGCTCAGGCTCTGGCTCAGGCTCTGGCGTGGCGTCGCAATCGCCTCCGTCATAGTTGCACTCCCAATTGTTGCACGCGCTGTCGCAAACGCCGTCGCCCGGCCACCCGTTGTAGCAGCCGTCCGCGCAGAGCTCCTTGTCGGTCGTTGTCGTGGCCTCCGAAGAGCACGTTTCGCAACACAAGTCCCCGAAAATATCACACCAGCCCCAGGCAACCACTTCGCTGCAATTGTTAGGCCCCACTTCTGATATCCCGAGTTCGTCGTTATAGTCGTTGCACTCCATCATAGCTGCAGCACACGTTTGGCAACATACGCCTTGCACCTCCGAGCTTTCGAAGCATATGACAGCAGCATCCCCGCAACCAGTGACCCAGGAAACATTGTTCTGTTGGGCTAAAAAAACCATGGCGGCATCGTCATCTTCGCACACGTCCGGCTCCTTGCCGGTAGTTGTCCACCACATCTCAGCCTCTGGCTCTGGCTCAGGCTCTGGCGTGGCGTCGCAATCGCCTCCGTCATAGTTGCACTCCCAATTGTTGCACGCGCTGTCGCAGACGCCGTCGCCCGGCCACCCGTTGTAGCAGCCGTCCGCGCAGAGCTCCTTGTCGGTCGTGTTCGTGGCCTCAAAAGAGCACGTTTCGCAACACAAGTCCCCGAAAGAATCACACCAGCCCCAGGCAGCCACTTCGCTGCAATTGTTAGGCCCCACTTCTGATATCCCGAGTTCGTCGTTATAGTCGTTGCACTCCATCATAGCTGCAGCACACGTTTGGCAACATACGCCTTGCACCTCCGAGCTTTCGAAGCATATGACAGCAGCATCCCCGCAACCAGTGACCCAGGAAACATTGTTCTGTTGGGCTAAAAAAACCATGGCGGCATCGTCATCTTCGCACACGTCTGGCTCCTTGTCGGTCGTTGTCCACCACATCTCGGGCTCAGGCTCTGGCTCAGGCTCTGGCGTGGCGTCGCAATCGCCTCCGTCATAGTTGCACTCCCAATTGTTGCACGCGCTGTCGCAGACGCCGTTGCCCGGCCACCCGTTGTAGCAGCCGTCCGCGCAGAGCTCCTTGTCGGTCGTTGTCGTGGCCTCCGAAGAACACGTTTCGCAACACAAGTCCCCGGAAACATCACACAAGCCCCAGGCAGCCACTTCGCTGCAATCGTCAGGCCCCACTTCTAATATCCCGAGTACGTCGTTATAGTCGTTGCACTCCATCATAGCTGCAGCACACGTTTGGCAACATACGCCTTGCACCTCCGAGCTGACGAAGCACATGCCAGCAACATCCCCGCAACCAGTGACCCCAGAAACGTTGAGCTGTTGGGCTAAAAAAACGAGGGCGGCATCGTCATCTTCGCACACGTCTGGCTCCTTGTCGGTCGTTGTCCACCACGAACTGAGGGCTCGCCCATCACGAACTACCTGGGAGTCACACTTGCCCAAGTAAGCTGTATCAATATTAGCACAGCTTGCTTGACAGGTGCTGTCATACGTCTGGCCGTCTTCACCACATACGGGGTCTGAGAAAGGACAGTTGCAACTTTCGGGTCCAGACATCAGAGCCCGTCCTGCATGTGCCACCGGCAGCGCTTGGACCCTGCGGAAGAGCTCGCCACTCTTGCCTCGGGGGACATCCACATGCACCCGCAGGCACGTCATGGCCCTGCCGGCGGAGTCGACGGCCCTGATTTTCAGCCGGTAGCCGCCGGCCACCACCATAGGGGGGAGCGTGTCGAGGGCGAGGCGCAGCTCCGTGCGCCCGGGCGGCAGGGGGCACCCGCGCCGGCTGTGGCTTCTGCCGAGGTGCCTGCACAGGTCCTCCTCGTACGCGTGAGGGACGCTGTGCCATGCGAGTTCACGCTTCACCCAGTCTCCTGTCGAGGAGCCTTCGGCAGCCGAGCCCTTGTACAGCTTGACGTTGAGGGTCCCCCCCGACACGTTGCTCGAGAGGTCCCCGTAGGCGCGCACCTGGAGGTGGGCCCGGTCGAACTCCGCGCGAGTGATAGACATCACATCACTCTTACCGCCACAGTCCTCAATCTGCACACCAGCGCCATGGTCGAGTATCTCTGCAACGGTGGTCACATCGCTTCTCTCTTTCCCCTCACCTGCCATCTCGTCGAGATATCCCCAAAACTTGTCCTTGACTTTGGCATCGGCTGTTGTGATGACGCATAGGACGGCGACGACTGAGCGAGCAGCCGCCGACGCTATCGACGTCATGACACCGTGCTGGAAGTGAAAGCTGTCAAACTTCGAACGTCTGCGTGCTGAAGAAGAAGTACCTCGACACACAAACTCTTGAGACAAACTGGCTACGGACCCTTTCGCGAAAATTTTGGGCCGTCTTGGAATTGTTTGGGCGGACTCTGAGCGTCCTGTGGGGTCGCCGAGGAAGATTTTCGAGGTCCAAAGAACCACCAGGACCACTCAAAAAGGCCTGCTGGCTCCGGGGACGAAAATTTGACGCCGGGCGGGCCGGGCGGGGGGGGAGTTTGGGAAAAGTGGGCCGCCCACGGGCCCATGGACCTGGTCGCTGGGTTCATTCTATAGAACCACGTGCGCGCTTCGCGCGCTTAGGTTCTAGCAAGCCTCGGCCACTGACAAGCTCACAGCTGCCTGCATGTGGGTAGCCACGAACGGTGCCAACCTGGTCTGAGGGCGCAAGAGCGCGGACCGAGCAGAGGAGCTTCTCTTGGGAGATCGTGGTGGGTACCCCACAAGTTCGCTGGGTGTTTGAGATCCGCCTCACCAGGGATGTCCTGAAACCATCTTGTGTGTGCGGGAGCGGTTAGGGAAGGTGGTCGGTCCTATTGGGTCGGTATTGTACCCTCTTGGGCTGGCCTGTTGGGGGCCGTTTGGGGGCCTCTTGGGGACTCGTGCGGGCAACCTGGGGGCATATCTTG